CCCCCCCCAACCCACTTAGCACCCGCAATGTAATGTCCCACACATGCGGCAACGGCAATGTGCTGAGGTGTTAAGGGCTGCTTTCAGACTTCGACGATTCACCCGTCCGGCGCGATGCGTGCTGCGACGGCGGCGCTAGATAGGGTTGACAGCGCTTGCACGTGATCTAGTGTTGTCAATCCTGTCTAGCGCAGCATGCACGTGACCGCCGTCGCAGCGCGCACGCGATGGACGGACGGACGGATGTCGAAGTCTGAAAGCAGGGAGGCGGTCGTTTGACGGTGCCCCTCGCATCAAACTTGCCATTGGGGCGCATGGGCTTATAATTGCCTCCTTATTGCCTGATCGGCGATGCCACTACTATTAGAAGCCGAATTGCGGACCCACTTGTATATCTCTTCACATCGTCTATTTTGCTACTTTTTCTGCTTTTGGAGATGCTCGAATTCCCTGTTTAAATGAATACTGTCAAGTTACGAAGCGGTAGTATCGCGGTCGTTTTGGAGCCTGATACTTCCTACTTCAAAGTAATTTGCAATGCATATGTACAGTAGCGCTCAAAAGTCTTCGGTGAAATGGTTCTTCAGTCATACTTTTCAGTCGTAACTCCTTTCCTGCTGGATCTTACCATGTGAAATTTCTATATGTGGAGCGTGGGTGTATTGTGAATATTTATCACTGTTAACCTGCAATCTTCTCATGTTCCAGATATTCCAAAGAGCATGAACTCAAAATCGACTGAAAATACAGATGATGGTCCTTCTAAAATCTCTTTCCTTTTTATCATGTCCAAAGTGTACGAGCGGTAATGCCGAACACAAAGGATGAGAAAAACGCACGTAAGATGCGAACAAGTGCAGACGTCAACAACTTTAGTTTTAGCAAAATCTGCTACCGCAACAAACACCTTGCTCTATCTGTGCATATTGCAGCTTCGCAGTCAAATAGTGTTGGGTAGGGTGAAATATGCTCTAGTTAAACATATCCAAATTTCGCATGATTTGGTCCTCTAAGGAAAAAGTTATGAACGAAAAAGCGTCATAGCATTTCACCGAAGACTTTTGAGCACTACTGTATAGCGTATTGATCGTATGGTGTTTTATTGTATCTTCTTTGAAAAACATTTGTTTACCGTGATAGTTATTTCCATCACTAACTTTATTGACATGCACATTATTAAATAGTTTTGAAGGATACTTATTTCGAGATATATCCAAGGCTTTTGCAAAAATCCGACCTTTCCAGTAATGTGAGACTGATGTATAGTAAGGGATAGGTAAGGAAATGTTGTAAGAGTGATAGGGTTGTTTTGTTTTTTCTCAGTTCTTGACCCTTCGTCGTTTTCATTTAATGTTCTTCAACAGTATTGATCTCTTGCTGATTTCGCATTTCCTTCTCAGTGCTCATCCACAGCTAAAAACAAAATTGACGAGAAAGAAAGTAGATACCGAAATTTGTAAGGCGTGACAGCTTCTGCAGAATCAGCTACTCTCACCTGCCGGTTTTGAACGCTTGGCAGTTGACTCAGCTCATGAGGGGCAATTTGTTCCAGATGATGTAAGGCCTCTAGAAAATGAAGGAGCGCTGTTATTGCTGAGCGCCGAGGTTGTTAGAGCATCTACGGAAGCTGATCCCCTGAAAATCTTTCTTCACAGAGTAATCATGTGCGGATTTACCGCACGGTAGGTCCCCAAATATACTGCGCACACCAAGAATAAATATATCAGTTTATCAGATAGTGCTCGAGTTAAATGGAGATCAGTCCAGTC